GCCGGCGCCGCTCCCACGCCCAGGCCCCGGGCCCCAGCCCTCGGCCCTCACAGGGCCCTAGAAGCTTCTCGGCCCTGTCCAGCCTCCCGCTGGCCAGCATTCGCCCCTGCGGAGCTGACCCCAAGCTGGGCATGACGGTGACCCCAGAAACCTCACCCGGGGCTCGTCCTGCGGCCGCGGCGGCAGCTCCCGGGTCGGCGTGGCTCCCGGGTCGGCTCCACAGGACCAGCTCTGGGGGCCGAGTGCGAGCAGTTTCAAACTCTCCGCGCTAAAGCGTCTGCAGCTCACCAATCAGAGGGCCCGTAGATATTCAAAGGAGCCAATCAGAACCCAGCCACGCTTGGGCTGGGCTTCCAGCGTGGCTAGAGCGCGAAAGAAAGAGGAAACGGCGGCTGGAGAAAAAGTAGGAGGGCGGGCGCTTATTGAATCTGAGGCTCTCCCTTGAATTCCCTGAGAGTGTCGTCCTCCTGTTTCTCGTCATGGGAAATCTACTACTGTATTAGCTCTGCTTTTTGTGTTTTTTTGTTCTTGTTGTTTTTTCTTTTCTCTTTTCTTAAAAACTTGCCCACGGTTTTGGTACCATTAAAATTTATTGCACTTAGTTTATTACAAAAATGATATTGCCTTCACATCGAGAACCCATTATGTTCACTTCTGTGTGTGTGTGTATACCAGTCCTGGGACTTGAACTCTAGGCCTGGACCCTGTCCCTGAGATCTTTTGCTCAAGGCTAGTAGTCTAGCACTTTGAACCACAGCTCCACTTCCTATTTTCATTTCTAATACGCGAAGTTACTGTAGAACTATTATTTTTTTTTCTAAAACGAGTGATTAACACATTAGGTCACAGAGGAGTGTTTCACCTGCCTTATGATGATGAGAGTCAAAAAGATAAAGCAGACATGAAAGATGTCTTTAAAAAAGTAAAGAAAAACATCCAATTATATGGATGAGTTTATGTGTATATATTGCTTTGCTGTGTGTTTATTGCATTGCTTAATTTTATAATGTTTACTTTTTGAAAGATTTAAAGCAAAGTTTAAGTACTTTAAATATAAAAATTTTTTTCGTACCAGAATTTAAAATATTCTTTGCATTTATATGTGTTGGTTGGTTGATTTATTTGAGAGAGAGAAAGACTTTCCTATGTTACTCAGTGCAAAAGATTTACAATATTGATGATGGATGACTGGGATGTAATGTGATCATGAGTTGAGGCAGATTTGTATATCATCTGGAAACTGCTGTAGTTAAATGCATGTGTCCCTCCAGAATCACTGTTAGAAACTGAACCCTCAAAGTGAGGAGTGACTAAATCATGAAGGCTTCATCCTTCTGAATATAAAATACATAAATTCAAAAGGCTGAAGCCAGGCTCCTAGGTGGCTCACACCTGTAATGGTATCCTTTAGCGAGGTTGCCATCTGAGAATCCCTTTTGGAAGCGGGTCCAGGTAGGAAAATCCATGAGATTTATTTTCAGTTAGTCACCCAAAAGCCAGAAATAAAACAGGATCCCAAGTGGTAGAGCACAAGAATTGGGCAAAAAAGCTAAGAGACAGTGTCCAGGACCTACGTTCAAACCCCAGTAGCAACACTTAATCCTCGATTCCCCCCCCACACCCCCCCCACACACACACAAGATAAAAGGCTTCAGGGATCAGTTTGGTTACCTTCCATTGCTTCTGATAGGTTGAGGACTCAGTGTTCCTCCTTTTGCCCTTCCACCATGTTCAATCTGCTGGTGCTTTGGTCTTAGGCTTCCCAGACATTATTTCATCCATTATCAATTCTGCAGTCAACGTATTTTGTTACAGCAACAAGAGAAGACTGCAACAGGGACCCCTTTTAAGGAAATAATGCGAAATAAAGTGTGATGGTAATTTTAAAAATTAAAGAATTATATAAACTCACAAAATCAACAAAAATGTATTGTTTGACACGTCTTTATAATACCTTCATCCTACACAGATTTGATACACATTTTGAAGTCATATATATGTATATGCACATATACATATACATACATATACATACATACACACATAGAGATTGATCAGGCACTCTACTTTTGACCCATGGCTCCAACTCTTTTCTACACTGGTTATTTTTGAAATAAGGTCTCACTTTCTACCCAGGCATGTTCCTGGCCAATAACTCAGCTATTTTAGGCTTTCCTTAATAGGATTATAGGTGAAAAGTAGATGTAGCTCTCAGATGAGGAGGTCTTGCAAACTTTTCTGCCCAGGATGGCCCCAAACCAAAATCCTCCCCATCTCAGTCTCCCAAGTAGATATGATTATAGATATCAGCCTCTGGCATCCAGCTTAGAATCATCCATCTACCTAACAAGTTCTTTAACCTTTGTTTCTTCATGGCATAAATTTTTTACATGTTTTTATGTAGAGACAGAAAAGGCATTTTATTCTTTCTTCTTACATGGCTCATTCAAAACAATTTTTTAAAATAACCAATCATTTCAATAAGTCATTTAAAATTCCTAGGTCATCGTTTATACTATGTAAACTCATAGAACTTGGATCAAATACATATTTAGAGCCAGGAGAAATGATATGAGCTGCTGAAATTATCAAGGTATTTGTTATAATTGAATAACTTGACATTTTTTAATTTTTTTACGAATCCTTAATGTCTTTTAAATTTCATCATGATTATGCTTATGCCTAAAATAGGCTCTTCTGCTATAACTGAAAAGTATATAATGAGAAGTAGTTATTTGTCTTTATGTTTGTAAAGTCAGCCCAATGAACAAAGGCAACAGATTATGATTAAACCTCTAATCAGCAAGTTAAGGAATTAATGTAGATGCTTATTATCTGATGTAACAAATAAATAAGGTTCTAATTTAGCCGAAGAAGCTGTTCTTGGGAATAATACAGGCTTGGTGTTATGAAATATTCTGTTCATTTAATATGTTTACTCTGGCAAATTCAAAAGAGTGAAACAGCAATACTATCCCTTTCCTGCTAAAGTAGTGGGGAAAATTACTTTCTCTTTCCTCAAAATTGAGATAGACATTTCAGAGCCTTGGAGTGCCTGGGGGTCTCTTTGGGGACATTAATTATCTGGCTCTTTGCATCATTTTATACCAGTGGTGGGCTACTGAAGCACCACACTTAGCATTATGCAAAAATCTTGGAAAGACAGAAAATTAATTTGTGTCAGTTCTACTCTCCAAATACTGAGTATGTTCTGTCTTCAGTTTGTCTAACGTTACTTGAGGAAAACCAAAAATACAAAGATGAGTGAATGTTTGTCTTTATTGAACTTGAAAAAAGGAATAGAAGGGAAGTATACAACACAAGACTAATTTTTGTGGGTATGTGCCCATGCTGGGGCACATTTTTTTTTAACCTCAGGTCCTGGGTGCTGATCCTGAGCTTTTTTGTTCAAGGTTAGTGTTTTACCTCTTGAGCCACAGCTCCACCTTGGGCTTTTTGATGGTTAGTTGAAGATAAGAGTCTCATGGACTTTTTCTCATTGGCTGGCTTTGAACCATGAGATCCTCAGAGCTCAGTCTCCTGAGTAGCTAGGATTATAAGTATGAGCAATCAGCACCAGGCTGACTATACATTGATAAGCTAATTCTTTTTCTTCTGTTGATGCTTTTGAGCTTAGTTGCTATGCTATGGAGATTCAAAGTAAAGAGATGCACATCCAGGTGGCACAATAGGTAAAAATGTCACCTGCAACTTCAACAATGCCTTTTCTATGTGGTAGGTACAAGCTTAACTAATGGTTTTGCAAAAAAAAAAAACAAAATACAGCTGCTCTCCAAACTTCAGTTTCTAGATGAAAAGATATAGAGAAAGTAAAGAGGAAAGCCAGCTTTTAGTAAATAAACCAAAAACTTACTGTCCCAAGAACACTCAATATGGGTGTCAGCTATACAGTTCTGACCAGGAGACCCTGATTAGCTGTGTCTTTAGGGTAGGTAATTAGATCCAAGCCTTTTAAACCCTGACTTCTGCCCTTACCTCTTCTGTGTGTTTAGGCAAGTCACTTCATTTCTCTGTTTTCTACTTACTCATGATGAGAACAGCAGTTCCCAGTAGTGCTTTTTGACGCAATGAGGTAATCTGTGTAATGGTTTACTTAAGTCTGTTTCTCTCTGGAAGTGAATACTTCACATGCCTTTATCTTAATCTCATTATCTGTCTCCCCCAAATAACTAGGTCGATGAGTACTGGAACAGAAAATTTGTACAAATTACAGAAGAGATGAAAAGAACTCTGAGAGAAGATAACCCCTTTAAAGACATGATCTTTGAAGTAGGTTTGGAAGGATAAATGATGGGCTGGATTAACCATCCAGACAAATGGAGTGCCATATTCAATAGCTCAGCCTGATCAAGGTAACTGGTTTGTTCGTGACTTTAAAGAAGTTTGCTCAAGCTAAACAAAGAGAGCATTAAAAACAACACCAACTGGAAACAGGAGGGAAGGTTTGGCCCAGAGAAATGGAAGAAGGAAGTTTCGAGGTGGAGATGACCAGGTGGGTGGCATTAGAGATCAAGACAGGAAACGAGGGGATAGGTTTAGAGAACACTCAGCAATGGCTGGAGGGTAGGATAGGTGTAAGGAGTAATATAATTAAAAGGAGGTAACAAGGGGAATTGGATTTATCTATGAAGTGGGGGTAGGAATTTACCAGTCATATTGCAAGGAGGGCAATAGGAACAACAGAAGGTACTTTTCATTTCATTAAGCGGTGGAATAAGAAAATCAAATTTTCTTTTTACAGGTTAATCTGGAAGTATCTTGATAAATGATTCAGCACTAGTATAGAGATATTATGGCCATGATACCACTAGAGGGTAGTAGAGACAAATTGGTAACGTAAATGAAGCTCCTATCTTCTCTACCTGCTACAGGCTAATATTTCCTTCTTGTGTATTTCTTGTAATAGTTGCAAACTTATTTCAGTTATTCCATACTTGTGAAAAATATTACATCTATATTTAGTAGACTTAGCTCTAGACAACTTATTAAATTCCAATCTCTAATTTTAGAAGACAATAAAGACTAGAAGATTAGCATTTAGCTAAAAAAAAAAAAAAAAAGCTGGGCACCAGTGGCTCAAGCCTGTAATCCTAGCTACTCAAGAGGCTGAGATCTGAGGATCAGGGTTCAAAACTAGCCTTGGCAGACAAGACTGTGAGAGTCTTAAATTACTCAGAAAAAGCCGGAAATAGCACCGTGACTCAAGTGGTAGAGCATTAACCTTGAGCA